AGCTTTATAATTCAGCTTTATAATTGTAGTCTAAACATTTTATTGATGTACAAACAGTCATTTTTTGTATTACTAGAGGAATTTAAATATTTCATTCTAGGAACTCCCTGTATAATTTTAAATTACAGATTTATTAATTATTCAGTGAAAGGTTTTAGTTCAAATACATTCAACAAACTTTATATTTCATAGTAAGTCTATTTTTTTCAGTGATAGCCACTTGACACTGTAAAAATCTTGAAAATTATAGGTTCGATAACCTATTTTGATATGCCCAAAGTTCGTTTGCAGATATAATGAATTGTGTGAAAAAATAAAATTAACACTTCACACATTTAAATAAGAATAAAAAAAAGTCCTAGAACTACTTACAAACTTTTTGACTCGTGTATTTTTAATAGTGCACCATAGATATCGTGACCACTATATCAGTGACTCGACCTGACCTACATTAGCTTAAATTGGTTCTAACTCGGTCTAACTTTCTCCAAATTCCAGTTCATCATCGGTCTCGGTGTGCCAGTAGACCTGAAAGAGCAGTCAGTTACCGTCGGTACAGTAATAAAGTTCCAATATGATTTGCCTACAAACAGTACTGAATACACAAGTAGGATCTACGGTTTCGCTGAAACAGTCTCGAGGGACATGAACGGAGACAATCCAACAAAAGACGTTTCAAATGAAATAGATTCAGACGAGTCAAGACAAATAGATGAGACAGAAGATCTTGTAACAGAGGAACCCGAGGGAGACAACGATACGTTAGTCGATCTCACTTTTGATGATAGACGAAAGAGGTCCCTCGTTTATTCTGAGAATGCTGTCCTAATTACTGACAGTAGTACTGCTAGTAATGATTTGTCTTTAGAAGAAGCGATTAGAAAGCAAGAAATGATTGATCAGAACGCTTTGGAAGAAGAAGAGGAGCCACAAAGAATGAATCGATGGGACTTCTACAAAGTTATAGAACGGATGGTTGAAAGGTAAAGTTGAATAATATTTCAACAATACAAGACTTGTTTTTGTGAGTTTACATTTTATTTCCCACTAATTTCAAAATAAGAGCAGAAACTACATCAAAGCATAAAGATTAAACTTCGAAAACAACAAACCAAAACTCTAAAGTAACCAGCTTAGCTGGCTCACAAGCAAAGAAACGAAAAAGAAAGAAGTAAAAAGTAACCCTATAATCTGAAAAATAAAACTTAAATCAAAACATCATTTAGTTGAAGTCTTTATAAAGAGTTAACAAGAATCGCTAGGAAGGTATAATATTTTATTAAGGTTGCCCATTGAAACTTCAGGTACGGGTATTCAGGCCGGCCGTGCTTGCTTCGAACAATCTGCGAGGCTGCAGAGGTACCATTCACCCATGAAAACGGTTTGCTCGGCGAAATTGGACATATTCTATTCACGTAAGTCACTAACGTTATGAAAGGATTTTGGTACTGCCTTATTTATGAATGATATATCATTCATTCGTTTGGCAGTTGACGGGTTAAGATTGGAGCTCTTTGGTTAAGGAAAATCGTTTAATCCGACGTTGTTCGGGTATTTTTATTTGAAGGGTGTGCAAATGAGGTGGTCCCGCGTTAAGCCAGCGATTTCATTTTTTTAATCTTTCATGTTTTATGGTTTCGTATTATGATTTTCTTTTTTTAAATGTTGTTTTGTTCTCATTTCTTGTTTGACTTTTATTTATTACTATAATATTACTTCGTTCGCCGAGTGGTCGCAAGTTCGAATTCCGGATAAGGGGTCTTGGGTTCGATTCCCGAGTCGGGCAAAGTATTACGGGATTAAATAAAAATCTCAGTAGTAGCACAGAGTCTGGAATTGTATATAGCAAAAGAAATAGGCTCACCCCCTATTACATGGGACTCATAACCCATTCGAGAATAAAAGGCGTGATATGTTATATGTATTACAATGATAAAGATAATGTTTTCATTAATCATAAAGGTTTATTAAATAAAGAGGTTTCTAATTGTCTGCAATACCAGTATCGGGGCCCCTTAGCTAATATAAGTGACGTTTAACGACAATCTGGTTTTCACCAACCTATTTATAAGTGACCCACCAGACACACCACACAGTAGAAAGGGTTAGTTTAGGTGCTAAGTAACTTTTAGTTACTGTCATAATGTCATTTATATTGTTTAAAAGAATGTTCTTGTCTATTCAAGAATGTAACCAAAAATTGTATTGTGAACATGATTGAAAAAGAGTAACCTATGGAGTTTCTTGCTCGTTCTTCTCCATAGGAATCTACACTTTGGAACGAGCAAATAGCTTCACTAGAGGACTGACCTACAGACTGACATTCTTTTCTTATTATTTAATATTTAAATATTTTGTTGTGACGTTCAAAAGTACCTTTCTGGTCTAATTGAAATAAATGATTTTGACTTTGACTTCGTGCGAGTGGGTGGGACATCCACCATGAATCGATGACGCTACGCCGATGGTCTTATGATACAATTCCTCCGCACACATAAATGTATCTGGAAAAATTTCTCAATTAAAATTAAACTTATAAATAAACATGTACATCAATAACTAGTTGATTTAATAATAATTGAGAAAAATATTTGTTATAATCGAAACAACTTAATAAATTCATATGATAAAATGGAATTAATATTCTAATATCCTATTATAAAAGAAAATTACATCTTCGTGGAAATTTTACGTCACAGCATAAACTTATAATTTATTATCCTATGAAATTGATTAGTCCTTTACATCTACGGAAACAATATAGAGGGTGTTATTTAAACTCCGGATATTGCAAATCGCGTTCAGCAAGATCCCATTAATATTAAAATACTTTAAACCACATTTCGCAAATCGAGTTTCAAATTACAAAGATTTACTGAAGAGAATTGAAGGGTTGTCTCTTAAATAAAACTTGTCGTTTCTTCAATTTATACGTAATTACTGGCGATTAATTAAGTGGAAAATCTTGTGATACAAGCCTTTGAGGGAACTCGCTCAATGATTCAACGGTTACATAGTTTCGAGTGATAGTTATCGGAGTATTTCTCAAGTTTGGGACACTCTGTTCAAATGTTTAATGTGGTATCGATTGGGTTGTTACTAGACGGTTTATATTGTTCAACAATTTGTGATTTAAAATAAGTGTTTAGTGGACATTGTATTTGTTCATTATAAACAATTAAATTTCTAACGATGCTTGAATGTATGAAGGAATCATAGTAGCTCTCCTTTCTACGTGCATTGTGAAAAAAGAATTGTGAATTTGTATGGCTATGTTATAATCTTCGTTAATATTATACATGGGGTTTCATAGTATATGTTATGAAGTCCTTAATGTAGAAAAATGAAACACTGGTCAAAATTAAAAAAAAACACTAAGGCTCCTAAAAGTTTGTTCAAAAACTTCATCAGCAATCAATTTCTTAACACAGACTTGTAAAAAAACGAAATCACAAATAAGGATAAATTAAAACAAAACGAGACTTCGAAATTCAAAAGAGACATGAAACAAAAAGAGAAAATCAAAGAAAAGAGAGGTACTCAACAAACCGTAATTATATCACCAAAGATGTCCTAATTAAACAGATTGTTTTACAATCAGCTTGTCTCGTTTTAAGGACGAGAAAAATCAGAATTAATTTAATTACAACGAACATAACTCATGAAATTCAAATTCGACTGAGGTGTATAATAATTTGGTAGGGAAATTATGGATAGAACCGAAATGTAGGCACCATGTAGGTGCGGATGAAATATTACATCCGATTGTTGCTTTAAAAATTATTTCGAAAAGGGAAATTTTTCGTACATATCTACCTTATGTATATCGTCACGCCTGTCTCCCATTGTGGTAGGTATACATAATGGGACACTAAATGATATGATTTTGGTTTTTACATTGGTATTCATTAATTTACAGTCTGTCTTGAGTTTTTACATCCATTATTATTTTATAGCAGTTACAGGCTGATGACGATGAAGACTCATCTGATGTCTATTATAATTTAATTACTCTTTATAATAGCTTGTACTCGTATAATAGCTTGATCCATGGAATAACATATTACGTACATGTTAGAGTAAATTAATAATAGAGTAGATGACTAATTTTTATTTTAATATCCGTCTGGTAGATTATTTAAATTCCACGTATTTTTATTTTCTTACGGAAACGAATAGTTTCGAAGATAATATATTGATTTGAAATATCGCAAGACGTCACTTTTGAGTACGATTTATACTCTAAAATTACGTAACTACCTCCCACTCCTAAACTTTGATTCGTTTTATCTAAGTATTGTCTTCTTATACCTACGACAAAATGAAAAAAATACCTTTACCTAACTGACGGACTAATTACATACAATTAATATTCATACCCTGTCATCGTCCCTATTACCTAGACCTTAACTAGTGTATACATTAAATTTTCCCAAGTCCTTGCTTCCAAAACCATAAGGTCAATTAACAACGCTCACAATATCACATAAAAGGAAAATCATGATTTCGCATTAAAAAGGCTCTTTTTCATAACAAAATACGTGTACGAACACGCATAAAGGAGAAAAAATATCTGTTCACATATTGCAGCGGTGGTGTATAACCGCAGAATCCCATTTTAACCCTTCATTTCAATAAATTGGTCGGCGCAGTGTACAACAGACCTAACTTTGATGCGGTTCTATGGACCCCGTACTACTGCGCATAGCAAAGGTAAATGTTTGCAAGAGAAATGCACGCGGTTGTGGCAATTTATAAAAATGAGGAGAAAATTTCTAATGCTGAACGTCGGCGCGTTGTTATTGTTCTATTGTGCTCTAGGGTTGGTTTTACTAAGTTGCTTTGTGGTGACTTAATTTAGTTGTACGGTTTCTTGTAGATAATGAATTAAAATACTTTATTTTCGTTAAAAGTTTTTTGTAAAAGATTGATATTTTTGAACGTGTTTCACCTTACTGTGATCGAGATTCAGTATTAATATAAAATCAAATGTGTAGAACTATGTGCAAAATATTTTGATATAAAACCTTATTTTCATAACAATTTTATCTAAAGCTTTCATTTTTCGGCGCTTCCATGTAAAGCCTCACAAACCATGTGTAAAGTAGGCATTTCCGTGAAATGAGTATGCTCTAAAAATCTATGCCTCATGTAGACTCATTTCAGTATCAAAATATAGTGTGTATACACTCATAGAATGGGGTCGTAATGTGTAATGTTTTGTTAAACGGAGGCATGTAAGTTTTAACCTCGGCTCGGCGTTGGCAAGCATCTGTGCCGTTCGGTACAGGCCAGAGCACTCGGAAAACATAACGGTTCATTAGTCAGACATCGCCGTAGGCTCTGTGTAAACATTCTAACATTTTATCTTATACAGTATTTACACTCCGTCGGCGCCGGTGCGCTCAGAATCGACGTTAAAACGAAATACTACGATGTTGCTTGCTTTAATTTTGTTCAATTTGCTTTCGCTGTTTGGGGCGGACGCGGGAAGGCAGAGGCGGTACCTCGTGTACCCTGACGGTGGCCCAGCCAGAGCACAGGTATTTCCCCCTGTCTTATTAGAACAAATCCATGTAAATTTACATAGCGTACCTGATTTAACTTAAGTAAATGATGTTTTCTTTGCACAACGGATAGGGCTTAACGAAGCAGTGTCTTTTTTGTTCGTGAATTTAAATGCAATTAAGCTTCTGTCTGCCTTTTGAAGTGTACCATGAGAGTTTTGTTTTTAATTTATTTCTATTATTCGGCCGTTTTGTCTGTTATTTAATGTTCAGCTTTATAACATAACA